AATACAATCACCCACAGAAATAACAGCAACAACAACAACTTGGATTTATTGCGCCCTCCACGCCGGGCGGCGTCTCAGAGTGCTTCACAGTAACGGATCCCGGGACCGAGCCGGGGGGAGGGGGAGGAAGGTGACCAAAGGTGCAGTCGAAAAGAAAGGTCTTCAGCAGAGACCTGAAAATGGGAAGGGAGGGAGCCAGACGAAGGGAGTGAGGAAGGCAGTTCCAGAGCCTCAGGGCATAGTGGCTGAAGGCACGACCACCGAGGGTGGAGCGGAGGACTCGTGGGACAAGGAGGAGGCCAGACCCTGAGTAACGAAGGCAACGTGTACTGTGCTGAGGAGAGAGGAGGTCAGAGAGGTAGGGGGGCTGCAGAGGAGTGGAGGGACTTGAATACGAGGGTGAGGATCTTGAAATCGATCCTCTCTGGGATAGGGAGCCAGTGCAGTCTGGTAAGGACTGGGGTAATCGGGGAACAGAGGGTGAGAATGTGGGCAGCAGAGTTCTGAATGAGTTGGATTTTATGGATGGTAGTGGATGGGAGACCGGCAAGGAGGGTGATTGAATAGTCCAGCCAAGAGGTGACAAAGGCATGGACCAGAGTTTCAGTGGCATTTGGAGAGAGGTATTTGCGGAGACGGGCGATGCGTCAGAGGTGGAAGAAAGCATTGCTGGTGAGGGACCGGATGTGGGGGAGCAAGGATATTTGGGGGTCGAACCTGACGCCTAGGTTGCATGCGGGTTCGGAGAGTTTTAGGGGGAAGTTGGGTAGGTGGAGGAGGTGAGGACCGTGAGATTTGAGACGTTGACGAGAGCCGAAGAGTATGGCTTCCATCTTGTCAACGTTCAGCTAAAGGAAGTTTGCCTCATCCAGCCCCTGAGATCTGACAGGCAGGCAGATAGAACATCAGGGGACTGGGGGTCGCAAAGAGAGGTGGAAAAATAGAGTTCGGTGTCATCTGCATACATGTGGAAGTGTATCCCATGTCTCCAGATGACATCCCCAAGAGGGAGCATGTAGATCAGAAAGAGGAGGGGGCCAAAGATGGATCCCTGGGGGACCCCACAGGTGACCGGGTGAGAGTGGGAGGAGAAGCCGTTTATGCAGATGTATTGCTGGCGGTTTGTGAGGTAGGAATCGAACCAGGCGAGTGCGGTCCCACTGAGGTGGATGACGGAGGAAAGGCGGTGGAGGAGGATGGCATGATTGACTGTGTTGAATGCGACAGAGAGGTCCAGGAGGATAAGGAGGCAGAGGAAGCCCTGGTCACAGATAGAGAGGATTTCTTTTGTGACTTTCACAAGAGCAGTATCTGTACTGTGGGCAGAAACCGGACTGAAGGGGTTCGAAGAGGGATTGGGAGGAGAGGTGTATGTGAAGTTAGTTTGCAACAACGCATTCTAGAACTTTTGAGAGGAAGGGCAGGTTAGAAATAACGGCTGGGGTTTGAGGGATCTAGCGAAGGTTTTTTCAGGAATAATAATTTTTCAGGTAATTCAATCACTTACACAAATACAATCATCCACACTAACATTTGATATAGCGCTATCACCACCCACAGTAACACAATCACCCACAGTAATACAATCACCCACACTAACACAATCATCCACACTAATGCAATCACCCACAGTAATACAATCACCCACAGAAATAGTCACCCACACTAATACAATCACCCACACTAATACAATCACCCACACTAATACAATCACCCACAGTAATCTAAGGGAACAACTAAAATAAATCTGGATTTGTTTTTTAAAAATCGAATTTCAACTATTGCACCAAAGAGCCAGCTAAACTGCTGTTCCAAAATGCACATAATATGCTTCCTGCCTTGGCCCTGTGAAAAATACAGCAATCTGTTATCTGGCCCAAGAAAAGTTAAATTACTAATTCAGCTTGTTCCATCCACGGGATCGAGCTCCTGTTGCAGACGTGTACGGTCAATAAGGGGAAGAAAGGACGGGTTCAAAAGCAATATCCACTCTTTGCTATAGTGAAGAATATTCTAGAACCAATTCCTGCACTCAGTTTCAACACCATCAGTGACGGACGGCTTAGATAGATCTCTGGGGAGAAAACAAGCCATCAAGAGATTCTAAAGCATCAGCTTTTACAGGGGCACGAAGACAAACCCAGCACTTGCCTAACAGATCCAGTGTCTCACAAACAGGTTAGTCTATTATATGGAATCTTGTTCTCGAAAGCCAAGGAGGTATTTCTAGAACTAGTACAGAAAGTTCTGCTTAAGAAAAGCGTTTAGAAAATAGACATTACATTTATGATAGAACTTTTTTTCCAAATATCCTAACAATCAAAACATTCTTTATCCCAAGTTTCTGAAAACATCCCAAAGTATTTTTTAAAGACTTTTTTCTTTAAAATATTGAAGAGTTAAAATAAACTGAATTTACCCAAATTTGATAACTAAAGACCTCTTACACATGAGAATGTCTGAATGAATGAGAACTATAACTGCTTTATACTTTCATCCATCTCGCTTCTCCTTCTGCCTTGAATACAGATAGCTCTTACTTTCACCTGACCATCTCAAATTGAGAAGGCAGGAGAGCAGTGCTTTAGTTGACTTTGAAGTTGAGACAGACTGGTATTGACACACAATGATGCTCTTCATAATAAGTAATAAAAATCTACAGAAACTGTTCTGATCAAGTGGCACGGAACAGGATAAATTCTTCCAGTTTAATTTAGAGGCATCAAGTTCAGTGTATATAAAATACCAGCAATACTGAGCCGCACACTGCAAAAGAAACACCTCCAATCCACTACAAGACAAGCAAGCACAAAATTCAGCAGTGTGTTGAAAAAATAGGGAGAAAATATTAACAAAGATCCAAGAATGAAAAAAGCAATGCAAAGGAGGGAGAAGGAAATGCATTTCGGGAAAATGCAATGGGTGTATCAGGGCTCTCAGAAACTCGAGTAATTTTCCCCAGTGGGTAAGTTGTTTTATCAATAGATTACTCATTCTTTCATTCAATTAATTGCTGTGAATATTTTCAGCCTGTCGTTTTATTTCTGACTGCACACTCTGCACATTTCTTTAGGCCACCTGGGCACCACTCAGTTTCAGTTAAAATTGTGGATGAATGGCGCCAAAACCACCAAAACCAGTTAACTGTGAAGCTCATTCTCCCAAGGATGAGTTCACATCAAGGCTCCCACACTCAATCAACACATTTTAGAAAAAACCTCTCAAACACATTGCTACTTTGCATTTCATTCTTTTAGAATACAAGCTCCTCGCCACAGGATGTTGCATGCAGACAGGAACATAACAGTTCAATACTTAATGGATTCCCATCACCAATATTCAGTCTAATAAATGCAGTGTGGGCCTACCATTGAGAAGATACCCAGACTGTGCCAGCTGGTTTATGTATTTAAAAGGGATCAGTTATTTTTAAGGAAAATTTCAGGACAAGATACTACAATACCCAAAAGAGGAATTTCATCTGTTGTAATATAGATGACTGAAACTAATTAGGATGGCAGACATGAATACCACCCAGTATTTAGTGCCTAGCATCTGCTATTCAATTCAGCATTGTAGATTCAAAAAGAGAAAGGCATTTCTCACAATATCCTCACCAATATCCTGCAGATTAATTGGACATTCACCTCATTGCTGTTTGGGGGATCTTGCTGTGCTCCGACAGCTTTGCATACAAAAAGTCTGGATTTTATTACTTCTGGTAAAAATGCTATTTTTTCTGCAGTTTTATAAACAACCCTGGAATATTAACTAATGTTAAAGGAATACCTAGAGCTGTGATCAATGCAAAGTGCACACTATTCTTTGCACAAATTAAATGGCTTTTTTTACTCTAGTGTTAAACGCCTTTCAGTATTTCAACAACAACAACAGAATTACATTTATAGAGTGCCTTTCACATCGGGAGGATGTCCCAAAGCGTTGAACAGTCGGGTGTCTGGCATTTTTACCAGAAGTAAATAAAATCCACCATTTCCAAAAGCTGGAAAGCGCCATTCAGTATCCCAAGGGTAAAGCATACATATTATAATCTGGGGCAGCCCATCTATGTGAAGTTCTTTTGCTCTCAATCAAATGCAAGAAAAGAAGCCCGCTTCAACTTCTTCACTACACCGTACAATTTTGCACAATAATACAATAATCTTTACGTTTGATATAGCGCTTTTCACGTCTTCCAGACGTCTCAAAGCACTTCACAAAATATACTGTAAAGTGAATTAACTGTATATTTGTGGGCGAAATGCCAATTGCGCACAGCAGTGCCCCACAAACAGTCGTGGATTGAAGTGATCAATTAATTTTTTTTTCTTGAGGGCGTGTGGAGTAAGGAAACTTGCCCAAACTTTTGCCCTGCCAGGAATTGAACCCAGGTTTCTCGCTTGTGAGGCGCGTGCTCTAACCACTGAGCCTCAGGACTCCACAATCAAGTTGCGGCTAAAGACTTTGGTCTGAACTTAATGTTTGTTAAAAGGTCAGTCACAGGATCTAATAATAATACTAATAAGATCTAAGATAGGAAGTTAGTTAAATTAAATAGTGAAACTGAAGGAAAGCAACCCATAAAGTACTATTTAAGAGTAAAACGAGAATAACTACCTTGTAGAATACTGGAATAAATGGTCAAACTGCACTGGTCTCACTGAGGGAAGGGGAAGAGAGAGTGTAGTCGCTTTAAGCTCTGTTTGCTCCACAGCAAGATGGTGCTACTTCCGGTATTGGTACTGCTCACATTGGCAACTTCATAGTGGTCCACCCATAGTGGAGGATCCTGGAAACCTTTGGTACAGCTAGTTTAGTTTTTCTCATGTGAAATTGGCCAACTATACAGTAAACATACACAAGTACAAATGAAATGAGAAAATTTTCTGAGAACAGAACTACTGTAGCACTCAAGTGTCGCACTCGTGTAAAGCAGGCTTCCACTTGCCTTTGATTAACTTGGAAATGTTAACCTCATATATAATATATAATCTTTATTTAAATGTAAACAGAACAGGAGTCATTAAAAGATAAGGCTCCACATGGGGGAATAATGACAGCTGTGGTCCATTCAAGTAATATTGCGTCCAAAATACTTTGCAGTTCAAAGTTTCACAGACCTTCCTTAGTCCTTGTGCCTGTCTGGGACCCACTCTCACAAACCGTGTGCATCATAAGAGAATCACCTTCATATTTAAAGGCCTAGATCTTACTCAAGGAAGGCATTGCCTTAAATGCTGTTGTTGGCTGACTGAACCCCCTTCCCTCACCCCACTTTGCTTGTACCTCGGGCCTGAATCCTTACTGCCAAGAGCTGTAGATATGTGGGGTTGCTGTGGGTTTCCCCAGTGAACGCCTGCTCCACTGGCTCATTTCTCCAACTCTTCTGCCTGCGCTGACTGCTGGTACACCGAAGCCTGAAGGTGGCCCATGCAGGTGCTTCTCGAAATCCTGTCTTGCTCCATATGTGTTGGCAGAGGGATAGGTTGTGCAAGAGATACTGTAGGGATGACTGCTGTGGGGACAATCAGACCATGATTGGAACCCTTGAGTGTAAGATCTTGCGTGGACAGGAGCGGTTTGAGGATACTGACCAGGCAGAAAGCAGAGCCACTTTTCGGGATAAAGTTCACCTTATTTTTATCAGGGCAGAAGAACTGAGGAATCTCATGTAGCTGCTTTGGTCTGGAGAGGAAAGGAAAGCTGACATCAGACAACAGCAAACAAATCCATTCCACAACCCGAAGCTTAACCCAAAAGTTAAAATACAAGTAAACAAGGCTCAGTCTGGTACCACCTATATTAATTGAGGTGAGAGATGGACTCGACACTTTTGTGATATGGGGCTGCAGGAATTATATAGCTGCAATAGCTCTGTATAATTCTTACGCGCATAGCACATAAGTCAGGGGATGATTCCCTTACACATCTGTAATTTACAACCGTGTATAAGGAGACCTATCCACCTGCATGACAAACTCAATATCAATCTTTACAGGTTGATGGGACTGTACAAGCCGGCTAGTTTCCAAGCAAGGACAGTTGGTGCATTACATCAGAGGTATCCAATTATAGTATAATATTCACCATCCAGCACAAGATGATGTAGATTAAAGATAGAAACATTCAGAACATTAAGAACCGTGAAAGAATCAATATACAAAACATTATAAACCATTAACAGCCTGAACATGGCATTACCAAGTAACTCAGCTTGGTGTTCAGCTTGTTCTCCTGTCAGCTCAGTTGCTCCAACCAGACGGACAGGCAGTTTGTAGGATTCACAAAAAACAAAGTGCCCACGAAGGTTAAAACATGAAACCTGGAGTAAAGCTTGGAGTACTTGGAGTACTTCTCTTTCATTCATAACAACTGCAAACCAAAGCAAGCTTCTCTCAGTGTCTAATATTGAAACACTGTGCATTAGCATTAGACAAATCTACATGCCAATACAATATGTTATACATCTCTTGTTTTAATGCTCTTGGAATTGAGAGCTAAATGCAACAAATTAAGATGTAAAAAGAGAAAAAAGGAAGACCAAAGTAACCAGAAAGGTTACCAGAAAGGTGCTTACCACACTGTGATAGGGAGCCCAGTACTAACATGTCATGAGTTTCATAAAGTAAAGGCAGGCCATCTTAGGACATTCTCTCAAACTACATTAGTCAATTACAACATTACAAAGCAGCATTGGGGGAGAACTGTAATAGGTTTTCTACTCACCCGGAGAATGTGTGGTGCATGAGACCCAAGCAGTAAGGGAAGGGGGAAAAAAAATATTGTAATAATGATGGTGGAGTCTAGGTTTGCACTCATGATCTTCTACAATGCAGTACTAATCTGGATTGTATGTAGGCATTGCTGAGCTGAAGCCACACTCTCTCACAGTTCAAGGTGGGCAAATTAGAAAAAGGAAATGATTCCCAGGCTGCCCTGTGGAATTCCTATCAATTAAACAGAAGACCACTGACAGAAGCCTGAAAATGGTGCTGTTCTGGCGATGGAAAGGGGTGAAAGTAACAGAGAAAGCGTGAGCCTCACAAACCCAAAACAGAAACGAGGAAAAAACATAGATCAGCGAATAGTGGTATAGAAATACAATCAATTTATTGACACATGTAAGTGAGTGTGAGTAGAAAAAAACCTGCAGTGCTCCACTTGCCAAATAGAGCAGTGAATTTAGGTACTCAGCCTGTACTGCACTGTAGCTGGGAGTGGAATGTCCACCCACCAAATGTTAGTTTATGTAAATACAGGGCAGACTTCCTTCCAGTTCATCCTAATGTGTTGGGATAAAGCCAGGCAGGATCATACATACACATCAATTAACAATGCAGATCCCCATGGTAACATTCATTGTTTAACTGCAAATTGTGCTAGTTGATCCCAGCGTTAAAATAGAAAATATAAGATTATCTTCTATAGTGATTTTTTTGGAAGACATTCAACTTCCCTATTAAGATTAGGATATTGCCATCTTCCCACTGAGGGGAGAGGGAGAGAATAAAATTGTTTGGGAGGATAGGAATCTGTGCAATGAGCAAGACTGGGAAAAGGTTGTGGCTAAAACTTTGGCACCGTGATTTCCTCAGACAAATGAATCTCAGAAACAACCAAACTAAACTTTAACAACAGTTCACACTTATAGCATCTTTCACGTTGGGAGAACGTGCCACTGTTTTAGCCATGTGCAATGTGATATAGATTTTAATGTTTAATGAAATGGCAAAGAGTGTTCACCACCATGCCTAACCCAGAATGGAATGTGCAATGTGGTAGGAAGGCAAGATCCACACAAACATTACCAACACGTAGAAAATGAGGCTCAGGGCTTATTTTTGGTATATCAATTCAAAATCAGGTGTCCTGATACGGTCCCATATCCAGTGCCAGTTGGTTTGATGTATCTTCAACAATTTGATTTATACACAATGAATCAAAGTCCTTTGGGCCAAAAGAAAAGTGTGGAAATGTTTGTCAAAAATTGTGAGGAGATTTGGACAGCTTGTGGAAATTATTTGACAGGTTTTGCAGAAATTGCGGGGGATTGGTGCTAATTGAGGTATATTTTACTACCAACTTCCTTTTTGTTTTCTTGATAAAAACTAAACATGAAGAAATAACACACATTAGATTGTTGCAAAAAAAATTATTAATTGCTTCTTTAACAAAAACTGGGTGGCCCATTTTTCTTTGCGGCGGTGGAGGGGGAGACACCAGTGAGGCTACAGGAGCTCATCACCTCCTGCCTCTTATGGCGCGACACTGCACACAGACAGAGACCCAGAGAGAGAGACACACACACACAGAGACGAGCACACACACTCACAGACACAGAGAATGACACAGACCACAACAACAACAAGATTACATTTGTTTACATATATATAGACACTCACAAACAGACACACATATAGAGGAGAGGCACACACTCACACAGACACTCACAAACACATAGAGACACACAAACAATCACAACAGCAAGGCCTTGGCGTGAAGCCCGTTTCCCGCTTGCACCGAGCATGCACATCCGAAGCCTCTCCGCCCACAGTTGCGTTGAGAGACCTGCAGGCCAGAAACTACATTTTATAGCGGGTTTGTAGCGGAGGGGTTGTTTATAGCGGATTGCGCGAAAAAAGTCCAGCCGTACTTTTCTATTGGTCCAGCTCATGGGTGTTCAAATTGAACGTCATGTAGACATTTACAAATATCAAATCATGAATGCTATGAGAGAAATCTCCTGAAATAGCTGCACAGTGTTTATAAAACATTGGTTAGGCCTCAGCTAGAGTACTGTGTTCAGTTCTGGACCCCACACTTTAGGAAGGATGTCAAGGCATTGAAGAGGGTGCAAAGGAGATTTTCCAGGATGGTACCAGGAATGAGGAACTTCAGTTATCAGGAGAGGCGAGAGAAGCGAGGATTATTCTCCTTGGAGCAGAGAAGGTTAAGAGGAGACTTAATAGAAGTTTACAAAATTATGAAGGGATTCGACAGGGGGAAGAAGGAGAAACTATCTCCACTGGCGGGTGGGTCAGTAACCCAAGAACACCGATTTAAAATAGTTGTTAAAAGAAACAGAGGGAAGGTAGGGGTAAATTTTTAATTGAACGAGTTGTTCGGATCTGGAATGCATTGCCTGAAAGGGTGGTGGAAGCCGATTCAATATCAATTTTTAAGAGAGAAGTAGATAATTATTTGGGGAGGACAAGTTTGCAGGGCTATGGGGAGAGAGTGGAGGAGTGAGATTGATTTGGATAGCTCTTTTCAAAGAGTCGGCACAGACACAATTGGTCGAATGGCCTCCTTTCTGTATAATTCTGTGATTCTCTAGAAAAATAATACAAATTAATAATTGAAAACTTTATGAGTAAGAACTGATTCACACTATATATAATGCCTTTAATTTGGGCAATATCTTCAAGATTGTGCCAGATACCAAGCCCTGGGGGGAAGGGATGGGTTGGGGAGAACTGACATAGTTGAAATAGGAGATTTTCATGAGGTTTTTAAAGAAGGTAGAGAGGGAGTGAGATGGAGGGTAGGGACATAGTGGATGTAGGTTCAGCAGCGATAATGGTTGGAGGGCAAGAAGCAGGCCCTTTTAGCAACAGTGATATTCAAATAGAGGTTCGATATACATTTCAAAACAGTTAGGCCAGATTTATCTGTGCTTAACACTAAACCATCACATGATGATATACAGGCAGACTTGTACTTACAAAGTCTCCTCAAAGGCTTTCACCCTCTCGCAGCCTTCTGGCGGTTCACGTTTGAAGTCGTAACTGTTGTTTGGTTTTGGGGAGAAGGCGTATTTTGGCAGTGGAGAGCTGTTTCCACTTTCTGCAGCAAGACACAATGCAAATCCATGTTTGTACCTGCAAAGCTGTCACCGATACAACTTAAAGCAAGAAGGGTTTTACAGGATGTAACCGTTCTAACTGGACTGATCATAGGTCGTCCAATTCGTAGTTCAGAATGGCTGAGAAACGTAATAAAAAAGCATAATGCTATTGAACAGAAGAGCATTCGACTGAGCAACTTTGCTCCCGTCATTTTTAAACAACAAAAAATTACATTTATATAGTGCCTTTCACGTCAGGAGGACATCCCAAGGCGCTGGACAGTCAGGGATCTGCATCTGAGCTGGTGGATGGGATCAGCAGGTGTGGAGGGTGGGGAGGGGAAGGGTAGGAGGGTGAACAAAGGCACTGTCGAAGAGGAGAGTCTTGAGACAGGTCTTGAAGGAGGCAAGGGAGGGGGCAAGGTGGAGGGACTGTGAGATGGAGTTCCAGAGGATGGGGGCAGAGAGGCTGAAGCCCCCCTGCCAACGGTGGGGCGGGCAAGGCGGGGAACGTGAAGCAGGCTGGAGTCCACTGGGTGGAGGGAGTGGACAGGTTGATAGGGAGGTGAGGTCACAGAAGTACGGAGGAGCAAGGTCGTGGAAGGCTTTGACGGTGAGGACCTGGATCTTGAACTGTATCCTCTGAGCAAAGAAGAAGAAACAAGTGGCGACACTTTACGGGAAAGTACTAGTTTTCATTTCAATCAGAGTTTGTCCATTTATACATTTGATATCTGAAGATAATAATAATCCTTGCATTTGGCATAGCGCCATATCACGTCTTCGAGACGTCTCAATGCACTTCACAGAACATACGTAAAGTGAATTGACTGTATATTTTGTGAGCAAAACACGGCAGCCAATTGTGTCCCACAAACAGCCATGGAATGATTGACCAATTTATTATTTATTAATTTTTTGGAGGGATTATTACGCCCGGAAAAGCAATCCGCCAATCGACTAACAACAGGGTTCCTACTCACTTACTGTTAGGTGACCTTGGGCGTGTGGAGTAAGGAAACTTTCCCAATGTTTCACACTGCCCGGGAATCGAACCCTTATCCAGAAAGCCCCTTACTTAGTAAGTAAGCATGAAAGCATCTTACTGGAAACGGATGTAAATATTTCTCACAATAAATTGAACTTTCCCTTTCCGATTTTCAAGCTTTTACTTGAAAAGAATGCCATTTGCAATGGATGTATTTGGATTCCTCTTGCTACTGCCATGATTAACCTCTCTGCTGGCCTTGTACCCTTTCCAATTTAATTACGCTGACTTCTCTTGCAATGCCAATCCTCACTGTTTTTTGTTTTCTTGTATCTTCTAAAAGAACTGCTTGATGTTGATTGGACCCTTTATTGTTTCTAGATTGTTGCTAGATTGTTTCTGTTCTTTATTCAACCATCTACATTTTTTTTATCCCTTTAATCCTCAGAGAGTATAATGTCAAACTTCGTCCTTTAAAGTGATCTTTACAAATGTTAGAGTTTCTTCAGTTATTTCATTTCCAAGTTCTACTTCCCCCAGTCTTCCTGAGTCATAGACCTCAATAAATATTAAATCAAAATCATACATTGTAGAGACCTACTCTGAGGTTTTACGGTATTAAATTGCTTGAATCTTTGCACATTGAAATGTCACTACTTGGGAATTATTCAGCTGTGTGACATCCTCCCAATCAGCTATCAGAGTGGTCCAACCCACCCGGCGGGTGATTTTATTGGCCCGCAAACCATTTTGGACTTCTGCCGCTGTGGGGAGAGTGACGGGAAGTGTGACGGACCTGCTCTGCCCCCCACCACCCAATCAGATTCCGTGCTACTCGTGCCTCGTGTAACCTTGGGAGACACAACGAGAATCGAGACACAACAGGAATGAGTCTCAGTAGGAAACGGAAGAGAGATGTCGAAAATAGAGGATTTCAGTGGGAGTGGGAAATTGATTACTTGTTTATTGAAAATAATGGAAAACCTCAGTGCCTTGTTATATACTGGAAATTCATGTGTTGCTCTCCTCAAAAACTGGAAAAGCAAACTTCAAAAGCAAATTTTCTCCAAAGCTGCAACAGTTCAAACTGCAATTCTGACTATATCTTATGTGGTTTGTCTACGGCTAGCGAAGTTTAGGTCATTTAGAGATGACGAAATGGTAAAACAATTGGGCAGCCAAACCAGCTCGTGCATTTGGTGATGTAAAATTGTTCAATAATTTTGAAAGTGTAGCACTGTAGAAACTGTGGCAAGGAGAATAAGTGACATGAAAGAACGCATGAATAAAAAGCTCAGGACAATAGTTGAAAAGTGTAAATACTTCTCATTAGCTCTAGACAAGAGCACTGACGTTACTGATATCAGTCAGCTATTAATTTTCATTGATAAAAATATTGTTGTTCATGAAGAATTACTTGAGTTAATTCCTTTGAAAACTGCTAAAAAGGGGTTGAATATTTGCAAAGTTCTTACTTCAACTACCAGTGAATACGATGGATTTCAGAAGTGTTCCTGCATCGTGACAGATAGTGCAAAATCAATGACCAGTTGTAAAAATGGTTTGGTAGGTTTGCTGAAACAAAATGGAACAAAACTACCTTCCACTGCATCATACACCAGGATTCCCTTTGCGGAAACCAGTGAAAATGAATGATGTGATGACTAGTATCATCAAAGTGATCAATATTATCCATGGAGGAAATCGAGCGCAGTCACAAAAAGTTCATAAACTTCTTTGAAGAATTAGATGCAGAATATGGTATTTTACCTCATTATTCAGCATTGGCTGAGTGGGCTCAACTGTCTTGTGCAGGTTTTTGGACTTAGGCAGAAGGTACTTTCACTTCTCAAGGAACATGCTTTTGAGCAGAGAGCCCAGCAGCGTGAGGAGGGAACTGAGCGAGGTGGAACAGAGTGAGAACTCTGTTAAAGAATTTGGTGAGAGTGGGAATTCTTCAGCAAGAGGGATACCAGAGAGCAAGAGAGAACTCTTCCATTCAGCAGAAGGTGGAGGTCACCGTACAGTCACAGAGGGTTCAGAAGGAGAATGAGTGCATGATGGGCAGTGCAGAAATCTCCTGAGAGTGTGGCACTCGCAAATCGGTTCTCTATACTGAATACCGGGCAGGGTGAAGACACTGGAGAGGGGAGGTAAAATTAAATAGATGCACAGTTGGGGACAGGGAAGAGTGTCAAGGCAATTGTCATTTGGGACACGATGGTGACAGGAGTAGACAGGTGATTCTGCAACCAAAGACATAACTCTCGCATGGTATGTTGCCTCCCTGGTACCAGGGCTGAAGACATCACAGAACAGGTGCAAAATGTTCTACAGGGGAACATCCAGAAGTTGTGGTCCATGTTGGGATCCATGACATAGGGAAAAAAAGGGCTGAGATCCTACAGAGAGAGTATCAGAAGCTAGGGAAAAAGCTAAAGAGGAGGACCTCAAAGGTTGTGATCTCTGGATTACTCCCAGTGCCTCGTGCAAGTGAGTATCAAAACAACAGGATCAAACACATGGATGCACGGCTGGAGAAATAGTGCAGAAAGGAGGGCTTCAGGTTCAATTTGCTACATGGCTTATGATGTAGTGGCAATAACGGAGACTTAGGTGTATACTATAGACCACCAAATAGTGGGAAGGAGATAGATGAGCAAATCTGCAAGCAGGTTTCAGAAAGATGCCAAACCAACAACGTAGTTATAATGGGGGACTTCAATTATCCTAACATAGACTGGCAAAATAACAGTGGGGGGAAGGAGGGGGAAGGATTCCTGAAATGTGTGCAGGATAACTTTCTGGATCAGTATGGTTCCAGCCCACCGAGGAAGGAAGCAGTGCTGGATCTACTTCTGGGAGATGAAGTGGAGCAGGTTTTAGAAGAGCATCTGGACAACAGTGATCACAATATCATTAGGTTTAGAGTACTTATGGAAAGGGACAGGGAACAAACAAAGGTGAAGATAACTCAACTGGAAGAGGGCTAAATTCAGTGAATTAGAAACGGATCTCGCCAAGGTGGACTGGAAAGAAAGATTGGCAGGTAAAACAGCTAACGAGCAACGGGAAGAGTTCAAAGGAGGAGATAGTTTGGGGATAGAACAAATACATTCCTACAAAGGGGAAAGGTAGGGCATCCAAACTCCCTGGATGAATAAGGAAATTAGGATTAAATAAAATAGAAAAAGAAGGCTTATGATAAATGTCAGGACCAAAATACAGAAGATAATCAAATAAAATATAGAAAGTACAGAGGAGAACTGAAAAAGGAAATAAGAGGGGCAAGGAGATTGTACGAGAAAACATTAGCGGGTAACATAAAAGGGTATTTTATCAGCATATAAAGAATAAGAGGTTAGTCAAAGGTAGGGTCTAATTAGGGACCAAAGAGGAAATCTTCTTGTGGAGGCTGACGTATTGAATGAGTACTTTGCATCTGTCTTCACAAAAGAAGAGGCTGCAGCCAATGCCACAGTATCGGAGGAGAGGGTAGAGAAATTGGATAATGCAAGAATAAACCGAGAGGAGGTACTAAAAAGCTTGTTGGTGCTCAACGTAGATAAGTCACCCAGTTCGGACCGGATGCATCCTAGGTTACTGAGGGAAGTAAGGGTGGAAATAATGGAAGCTCTGGCCACAATCTTTCAATTGGACACCGGGGTGGTGCCAGAGGGTTCCAAATGTTACTCCCCTGTACAAAAAGGAGCAGAAGGATAAACCCAGGAACTACAGGCCAGTCAGTAGTGGCGAAACTTCTAGAAACTGTAATCCGGGACAAAATAAATTTTCACTTTGAAAAATATGGGTTAATAAAGGACAGCCAACATGGATTTGTTAAAGGCAAATCATGTCTAATCAGCACTTTGGGACGTCATGAAAGGCGCTCTATAAATGTAATTTTGTTGTTGTTGTTGACAAGAGTTTTTTTGATGAAGTAATGGAGAGGGTGGATGAAGGTAATGCAATTGATGTGGTTTATATGGATTTTCAAAAGGCGTTTGATAATGTGCCACATAAGAGACTTGTAAGAAAAATAGAAGCCCACGGTATTAAAGGGACAGTTGCAGCATGGGTACAGAATTGGCTGGGAGACAGAAAGCAGAGAGTGGTGGTGAACGGTTGTTTTTTTTCTTACTGGAGAGAAGTGTGGTGTCCCCCAGGGGTCAGTATTGGGACCACTGCTGTTTTTGATCTATATAAATGACCTGGACTTGGTGATAGGGAGTACAATTTCCAAGTTTGCAGATGATACTAAGCTAGGAAAAGTAGTAAACCGTGAGGAGGAGAGTAGCAACAACAACAACAAGAAGATTACATTTCTATAGCGCCTTTCACGTAGCAGACTGCAAATGGACATAGACAGACTGGTAAAATGGGCAGACTCGTGGCAGATGAAGTTTAATATGGAGAAATGCAAAGTGAAGCATTTTGGGAGGAAGAATGTACTGTGTTCAATTCTGGGCACCACACTTTGGGAAGGATGTCAAGGTATTGGAGAGGGTGCAAAGAAGATTTACCAGGATGGTACCAGGAATGAGGGATATCGGTTATCAGGAGAGGCTAGAAAAGCTAGGATTATTCCCATTGGAGCAGAGAAGGTTAAGAGGAGACTTAATAGAAGTGTTCAAAAATTATGAGGGGATTCGATAGGGTGAACAAGGAGAAACTATTTCCACTGGTGCGTGGGTCGGTAACCCGAGGACACCAATTTAAAATAGTTGTTAAAAGAAACAGAGGGGAAGTGAGAAGAAATATTTTCACACAGCGAGTTATTCAGATCTGGAATGCATTGCTTAAAAGGGTGGTGGAAGCCGATTCGATAACAACTTTTAAGTTTGAAGTAGATAATTATTTGGGGAGGACAAGTCTGCAGGGCTATGGGGAGAGAGCAGCGAGAAATCAGAATATTTTGCATCTTGTGGGGGATGTTGACAGGTTCCACATAAAACTACAACTGTTGAACTCATCCCTCTTGCAGAACAACCCCACCCATTTTCCATCATGCATGGAACTCGCAACTGAGCTTGATGAGACTAATTTTCGCAGCTTTTCAGAAATCATAATAGAGCTATTGGATGAGTTCAGTGCCAGATTTGCTGATTTTGAGGTCCAGCATCCAAATATTCAACAATCCGATGGAGGTGTCGATTGAGTAGCAACCAAAAGATCTTCAAATGGAGATTTGTGAACTGCAGGGTGACCCTTTGTTCTTCTCAAGGAAGAATGAGATTCATGAAAACTTCTGGAAAATTATTCCTAAGGATTGTTTTCCTAAATTAAATGATTGCACTGAAGATGTGTTCAAGAACATACATTTGTGAAAGCAAGTTTTCTACGATGAAACACGTTCAGTCCCAACATTGCAACAGGCTTGATACCAACACCCTTGGGTGCTGTCTCCAACTTGCTACGACTGAATTTGAAGCTGCCATTGGAGCTCTGGTTCAAGAGAAATATTTTCCTCAGTGTTTATACTAAGACATTTAATGGTCTTCTAAGTGTCAAGAAATTAATTATGTATGTTTAGAGTGGATTGTATGAAAATTGTTTTGTATATTCTTGATATTATTTTTAATTATTATATATTCAAAATAATCTCTATTCAAAAGTATCTTTATTGTGTTCCTTTGTTAGTTTTGCAATTGTAGATTAATCTGTTTGGGTTTTGTTGAGCATTCTCTGTTGGGGCCCCTATGTGCTGATTTGATATCTTGTGATTTGACTTTAAAACATTAAAACATTTGTTGCATTTATTTCCACTTGAGATGATCATTATTAAGTAATACAATCACACAATAACAAACAGGATTTCTACATGATTTTTTATGTTTCTGGAAGGAATAAACAAAATTATTGCTTGTGCGGCCCATGGACATCTCTCACATGTGAAATCCGGCCTTCAACACCAAAAAGGTTGAACCACCCTGCGCTATATAAATGTAAAGTACTATGTAAATATTTGTGGTTAATACTAATCTGCTGAAGCTGATTGCTCATTCTTCCAGCCTTTGGGTTAAGAGGCAGCGACTCATTATTCATTACAACATTGCTTGTATTTAAGACCTTTTGGCTATCTATGGTCTACTTCATTTCTTGGATAATTAAATTTCTGATAATTAATTCATTTAATAAAAAAAACTCTTTGTAATTAGTAAAATTTGCCTCTATTCCTTATGATTGAGTTCCATGACTATCAGCTATCTACTGATCCATCAGCCATCATTCATATTCACCAGCGAAGACAGTGAGTTCCAACAGACTGTGTGACTGAGGCACCACAACTGAGCCAATCTGCCTTTACCAGATTAGGAACTTTCCTGCATAAATCAATGGATGGTGATCAGGAGGAGTCCATATTCTGCCCTGGCTAAGAGTATTGAGGCCACCCCTATGATATCAGCTAACTCTGCAAACCTTGCTGGATCAAACCTTACTGGAAAGTATGTGCATGTAGTTGTTGAGTGAGAGCAATGACAGGTTCAGCTGTGATTCCCTTATGATTAAATAAACTACCAATGGACACTGTCAAGTTCCTTATTCAAAGATGGTGATATACAAGAGAACTATCAGTGTGTGCCACACCTAGATAAGAATCAGTCATTCATATGGTTCTTTGTGGGACATTGCTAGGCACAAATTGGCTATCGCATTCACCTACAAGTGCAGAGTCACTACATTCTACAATAAATAGTTTGAAGCACTTTCAGATGTTTTGACAATATGATTAGGTACAAGGATTATTAACCTAGTAGGAGTCAAGTGTCTTCAGAAAAATGAGAAACCAGGGAACAGCCCCTTCTGCACCATTTTACAGGGGGAAAAAAAACCCACCCATCTTCAAAAAACACTTTCTTGGGATGGTCTTTGTTCTTAGGGGCTTCCATACTTATAGCGCACGTCTACAACCCAGAACTATGTTTACTGGGAAACTGGGCCAAAATTAACTTGGCAGCAAGATGGTAGATAACACAAGAATGTCTGTGTGGGGAAGAAAGATGCAGCGCCTAAAAATAACTTTTTCCCAATAGCAACAGACTTGTCACTGTATAGCTGTAAAAGTGGTAGAGTGTTTCTACTTAAGTCAACTGGTTATTGACTCAGACCAAATGTAATGCAGCATAATCACGATTGAATTACCTGGATTAACGCTGTCAGTGTTCAATGCTCCTCCTTCCCACCTCTTACCTTTCTCTCTGCCATTTGTGAGGAGATCTTCAGTGTAGCATGGACTCTCCCTACTCCCCTCGTTGGCTACAGTGAGGAACATTGGTGAGATGGACTGGGAGCGGCTGCTGCTCGCACTGCTCCGATCCACTCCTGAGGGGGTCTGAGTGTCAATGCTCCGTGTGCTGCTGCTTCGCTTCTGTATAGGAAGTGGAGCCCGATGGCCGTCTGGAGTATCCTGCAGCTAACACATGAATCAAACATACAATTACTGTAAACAAGAGAAACCACAGTATCAAAATCCCATCTTTCTATTTGAAGTTGAGAGAAGAGAGACGATCAAGCAGTCAGGACCCGGGGGGGGGGGGGGGGGGGGGGGGGGGGGCGGGGTGAGAAGAGACAGCAGAGAGATGAAATTGGGGCGAATTTGAAGAGCACCTGCTAGGCCACAGAGTGATATAGGTAAAGATTTGGCAGCAGCAACTCATTCATGATCAAAGGAGATTGAAAGAAAAAGAAAATAAGTGAATATACTTGACAATCCATACTCTGAGGTCCTCAAGACTCTGGCAAACTGCGCCTTAATACTTTCCGCAATTAGGTAACCAAGTCCTTTCAAGGAGAGAGTGTGAATTCCATTCCAAACAAAGGGAAGTTCTCATGTATAGGTGGCAATACATAAGAACATAAGAAATGCTAGATGAAAAAAGACCAAGGTCCATCTAGTTCGCCTTCCACCTTCCTGGTGGTCGCTTGCACATATGTCCCGAACTACCTATTTACTATATCCCATAACGTTATTTCCTAAAAGAAAACGATTTAATCTGTGTTTGAAAGAATCAGCTCTTCCTGCGTCAACCATCTCCCTAGGGAGCCTGTTCCACAGGTTCACGATTCGCTCATTGAAATAGTGTTTGCATAGATTTGTTCTGTATTTAGCCCCCTTCAATCACAGGCTTTTACTATGGACAATCATGTCGCCTCTCAATCTTCTCTTTTCAAGCATGAATATGCCCAATTTACTTAGTCACTCCTCATAATCCAATCGCTCCATTCGCTCAATCATTTTGGTTGTCCTCCTCTGTATCTTCTCAATTTATCTAATATCCTTTTTGTACTGCAGCGGCCAGAACTATACACAGTACTCTAAGTGTGGTCTCACCAGTGATTTATACAGTGGCAGGATTACCCCACTTTTTGGCTTGCTATTGATCTCTTGATGCATCCCAACATCTGGTTTGCTTTACTCACTACCGCAGCGCATTGTTGGGAGAGCTTCAATTTATTGACAATCAGGAACCCCAGGTCCTTTTCATTTTCCATACATATTATATTCCTTCTGTTCAAATAATAATCCCTTCCAGGATTTTTTTTCCCCATGTGAAGTAGTTTACATTTCTCCACATTGAATTTCATCTGCCACCTATCTGCCCAATTCCCAAGTATGTTCAAATCCTCCTGTAAGTTATCTTGTTCAGCTTCACAATCTACTACCTTCATTAGCTTAGTGTCATCTGCAAACTTAGCCACTGTGCTTTTGACTCCTAGTTCCAAATCATTCCTAAAAATATCAAACAAAAGAGGTCCTAAAACAAGACCCTTGTGGAAATCCACTGGTAACATTTTCCCTGTCCCTGATGATATTCCTTATGCCACCACCCTCATAGATTCATAGACTCATAGAATATTACAGCACAGAAGGAGGCCATTTGGCCCATAGCTACTCTGCTGGCTCTTTGAAAAGAGCTATCCAAATCAATCCCACACCCCCGCTCTGTAGCCCTGCAAACCTGTCCTCCCCAAATAATTATCTACTTCTCACTTAAAAGTTGTTATCAAGTCGGCTTCCACCACTCTTTCAGGCAATGCATTCCAGATCCGAACAACTCGCTGTGCAAAAACATTTCTCTTCACCTCCCCTCTGTTTCTTTTAACTAACTATTTTAAATCGTTGTCCTCGGGTTACCGACCCACTTACCAGTGGAAGTAAGTTTCTCCTTGTTCACCCTATCAAATCCCCTCATAACCGTGAAAACTTCTATTCAGTCTCCTCTTAACCTTCTCTGCTCCAAGGAGAATAATCCTAGCTTCTCCTGATAACTGAAGTCCCTCATTCCTTGTAATATCCCGGTAAATCTTCTTTGCACCCTCTCCAATGCCTTGACATCCTTCCTAAAGTGTGGTGCCCAGAACTGAACACAGTACTCTAGGTGAGGCCTAACCAGAGTTTTATAAAGGTTCATCTTACCTTCCTAACTTTTGTATTCTATGCCCCTATTTATAAAGCCCTCTGGGTTCTTCCAGTCAACCAGTTGCATATCCATTGTAATATACCTCCACTGATTCCCGCTTTCTTTACTTTGAGTACCAGCCTCTCAAGAGGAACTGTATCAAAGGCCTTACTGAAATCCAGATACACAACAGCCACAGCCTCACACTTATCAGGCTCCCTTATCCAAGTTTCCTTACTCCACACGCCTAATAATAATCCCTCCAAAAACGAAACAATAATAAATTGGTCATTTTCAATCCACGACTGTTTGTGGGACACTGCTGTGTGCAATTGGCTGCCCCATCTGCCCACAAATATACAGTCAATTCACTTTACAGTATATTCTGTGAAGCGCTTTGGGACGTCTAGAAGACATGAAAAGCGCTATATCAAATGCAATGATTATTATTTATTATTATTATTGTCACACCATCAAAGAAAATCAGTAAATTAGATTGGCAAGACCTTCCCTTCATTAACCCATATTGGCTATCATTTATGATTTTATTTCTGTTCGGATGCTCCATGATTTTATCCTTAATAAGTGTCTCCATAATTTTATGCACAATGGACGTCACGCTTACTGGTCTGCAGTTTTCTGGGTCATTTTTGTTGCCTTTCTTAAAAATAGAGTAACATCTGCCTTTCTCTAGTCCCCCAGCACCTCTCCAGTATTCAGTGATTTTTGAAAGATTTGTGCCAACGTTTCTGCAACTTCCTCCCTTAGTTCCTTAAGGATCCTCGGATACAATTTATCCGGCCCTTGAGATTTATTTACCTTAAGTGTGCACAGCTGTTTGGCAACCATGCTGGTGTGATATGAATAGTGGCGCCACTTTCCTCTGCGACATCCTTGAGTTCCCTTACAAGAAAATAGATTACCCATCTCCTCCTTGGTGCAAAAATTGTATTTCGCGCTATTGCAGCCTTCGCTGCATGATTTGTCATGTTCTTTCCCGAACCCACCTTCACTGGCCCTTTTCCATTGCTTGTTTTCCTTTTACTCTTAATATAACAAAAAATTCTTATCATCCTTCACATCTGTTCCATGTTTAATTCAAAGCTTTTATTTGCCATTCTGATGCCTTTTTTGCAATCCTTCTGGTATTAAATTTGACTTATTTCTGTGGTATTTTCCTTCTTGGCCTTTCTTTTCCTCTTTATGATTTGCTTTGTAGCCCCTTCCAACCAGGCAGGAGTGCCTTTAATAATAATAATCCTTGTATTTGACATAGCGCTTTTCACGTCTTCTAGATATCTCAAAGCGCTTCACAGAATATATGGTAAAGTGAATTGACTGCATATTATGTGGGTGATACGCGGCAGCCAATTGCGCACAGCAGTGTCCTACAAACAGTCGTGGATTGAAGTGACCCAATTTTTTTTTGAGCGATTATTATTAGGTGTGTGGAGTAAGGAAACTTGCCCAAGGTTTCGCCCTGCCAAGAATCGAACCCAGGTCTCTCGCTTGCAAAGCAAGTGCTCTAACCACTGAGCCACAGGTCTCCAAAAAAAAGGGTGGAAGCTTGGTACCTTTACTTCGCATGGATACACACTGTTCTATTGCCTTCATAATCAACTCCTTGAAGGAACTCCATAGGAAGGAACTCCCATTGCCATATTTAAGCCCACCAGGCCCACTCCGACCAGACCTCTCAAGTGCACAAAATCAGTCCTTTTGAAATTTGGCAGTTTTGCTTGGGTTTTTAGAACCTCACCAACTCTTGTGATGTCAAATGTGACTGTATTGTGATCCCTGTTGCTTAATGCTTCTTCCACCTTTATGTTGGAGATTTGGTAATTCCTGTTACTCATTATCAAATCCAAGATGTTTTCGCCTCTTGTTGGCTCTTTTACAAACTGAGTCATAGAACTTCCTTTAACTCAAGAAACACCTTCTCTACAGTAGACATATTATTATCCCAATCAATTTCGGGTATATTAAAATCTCAAACTACTAGTCGTTTTCCTTATCTCATTCCACAGTTCCAGATCGAGGCTTTCACTCTGGCTTAGAGGTCTATAGCAAACTCCCAGTAATAGCTTACCTCTGTTACCATCTTGTGATTCTAAACAAGTGATTCTGTGTCTGCCCTTTACTTTTTTATTTTCTCTCTCGTTTGTGTATCAATAATGACGTTTATATATAATGCCCCACCACCTCCTCTTCTCCCAATACAGTCCCTCGTAAACAGTTTATGACCTTCCAGATGCATATCCCATTGATTGGATTCATTCCACCATGTCTCTATGATACCAATGTCCAATCTGTCATGCCCTACAAGATCTTCCAGATCCCGCATCGAGCTGGGGGTCAGGACACGCCCCAAACCCGAGGCCCAGCTCGGGTCCGAAACACTTATTGTCCAGCGCCTTGGGACGTTCTCCCGACATGAAAGACGCTTTACAAATGTAATTTTATTGTTGTTGTTGTTTGTCAGACTTCTTGCATTAATGCAAGTACAGCTCCATTGTTGTTTGCCTTTCCCATTTACTTTATGAGCATTTGTTGTTTTTTTTCACCAACCATTGGAGTTAGATCTGTTACACTGGTACCTCTTAAGGTTTTCCCTAATCGGTTTGGGTGCTCTCTTACACCTACCACAACCGTCTAGTTTAAACACTCCCTAACTAAACAATCTACCCTGCTCGCCAACACCTCCACCCCCCCCCCCCCCCTTTGCCCATTGCAAATAAACTGTACAGCACACAGAAATCTTTGTTCTATTTATGTACATACGTGGAACTAAGTCTGGTTGTCTGGTTTGTATACTCTTAAGCATGGTGACAAGTTTCTGCATGCCTCAGACTCCAGCTCCCAGCTCAGGTGCAAATCCTTCATTGTCCATTGCAGATAACACTGTACAGCAGACGGAAATCTTTGTTCTATTTATGTAAAAACAAATCACACTCAAAGCAAATACACTCTCTTGGTCAACTTGCAAACACAACCTCAAAAAGACAAATCTTTA